ATGTGACCAACACAATGTATAAATACAATTGTATTTCCTAGAAAGTTACAAGTCATGGCTACCATAACACATGAATGTTGGCTCACGGAATAAAGCTTACTTACAAGTATTATGCTTCAGAGAAGGATATCATGTGACCAACACAATGTATAAATACAATTGTATTTCCTAGAAAGTTACAAGTCATGGCTACCATAACACATGAATGTTGGCTCACGGAATAAAGCTTACTTACAAGTATTATGCTTCAGAGAAGGATATCAAATCTTGGTTGCAAAAACCTGCAACATGCACACATTTCTCAGAAGCCAAAAAAATTATATATATATATATATATATATATATATATACACACACACACACACACTTTAAAGACAAAAACACATCTCCTCCAGGACTGAATGAGGGACACTGCACAGGCATAGCCGAAGGGAAGAAATGTAAGGCACTCTGCATTGATCTCTCACTAGAAATAAACAGATGGCTATTTAGAGGGTGCTAATCTGAGTGGTGTAACAGTTGTGAGGTTTAGCAGACTGATATATAACCTACATGAAGTACAACAGGACAGCGACTGAGACCAAAAGTAAAAACACTTTCCTCTAAGAAATAGGAGCAGGTTAGTTTTCATGCCTCCCTCAGATGTAAAGACCAATCCATGGCTGTGTGAAGGTTGTCTCAATGACCATTCCCATATTTATTATAATTTACTTCCCTCTACAAGAGGTGGGTGCAACTGGAATGCTTGTGCATTCCAGCCTACCCCATACTCAGGATTTTGCTGCGCTTTTTCGGACATTGGACTGTCCCTTCTTGCCCCGTGTGTATTTGAAGGTGCGCAGTGGATTCTTTGACTTTGAGAACTGCAAGAAAGAATAAGAAATGTCAAACAAGTAAATTGTATACTCTTAAAAGGACCACTATAGGTTATCCAGGCCACTATATCTCAATTAAATGGTCTGGGTGCAGTGGCCCTATTGTATGGTCCTGGAAAGTAACCACACCTCTACTAGCCATCTTTCTGACAGACACTAGAGCAGTGGGTTCCAAACAGTCCTCAAAGCACATCTACCAGTCCAGGATTTAGGGATTACCCAGTTTTGAATAAGGATATTTTAGAAAGAAAGAAAAAGCACCTTGACACAACTGGGTAATCCCTAAATTATGCATTTGTAGGTGTGCTTTGAGGACTGATTTGGAAACCACTGCACTAGAAGATGCTTCCACTTCTACAATCAAGCCCGACTGTTCTGTGACGTTCAAAGTCCTCATGCATTTCAAAAGTTGAACGTCCTCTATTGGTACTCAGAGAGAAACATTGGATTCAATGATTCTCTATGAGAAGCATTGGAATGGATGAAAAGACTAAGAGCAGTCAGGCTGCATGAAGAAAACACAGGTGGCGGTGTAGGCAGAGTCTCAGCACTAGAAACAAGGTAAGTAAAAGTTATGTTTTTGAATTCATTTAGGAGGGATCAGAAATCTAAATATGTACTAGAACACAATAGTGTAAAAAATACACGTCTGTATTCCTAACGCCACAGTGTTCCTTTAACACCACGTACACACAACAAATAGAGCCAGTAAATTCAAAACCAAAAATATTATGTTCACCAATAAGTAAAAAATGAAGACATTTATGTTCAGCATAGGGTATTATAGATAAACTTTACACAGTAGTTAATATTACAAACAGTAATTTTTGCACACAAAAATGTATTTCTAGGCTCAGCTAGGCCAGCCTATAGGAAGCATCCAAGTGAAATGATGCATATTTACCTTTTCTTGAGAAAATTTTACTTTCTTCTATCTGGTTGAGCAGTTGTGTTTGGTCAGATTCTACTGTTATCTGACCAACTGTTGTTCAACCTAAATTGCCTACTCTTGCAGATTCACACAGGGCAATCAAAGCATTGCCCTATGTGCTCTACATAGCAGCAGGCAGACCTCAAAAGGATTCTCCAGTGCCAGCAAAACAAACCCGTTTTCCTGGCACTAGACAATCCTGGAATACCCCGCCCCCTTCCCGCCCCCCATCCCATGTCGCTGAAGGGGTTAAAACCCCTTTAGCTACTTACCTGAATCCAGCGCCGATGTCCCTTGGCACTGGGTCAAGCTCCGCCCACGCTCCTCCCCTGCCGTCAGCTGGCAGGGGAGACCTAATGCGCATGCGCAGCAATGGCCATGCACACATTAGACCTGACGCTGGAGGTCCGTGAGGACGTCCAGCATCAGATAACAGACAAAAAGTCAGTTTAGATTCCGGAAGTGCCCCCAGTGGTTGTCTGTTAGACAACCACAGAGGGCAGACTTAGAGCTGCAATGTAAACATTGCAGTTCTCTGGAACTGCAATGTTTTAAATTGCGGCACTAGGTGCAAAAGGGTCACAGCACCCAGACAACTTCAATTAACTGAAGTGGTCTGGGTGCCTACAGTGTCCCTTTAAAGAATGAAAGGCTCACTTTAAAGTTAATAGGGTTCAGTATTTAAAATGGGCAAGATTTAAATTTTAAAAATACCATAAAACTAATTCTATAATACATATACAACATTCTGGAGAGTCACAACTGGACCAGTTTTAGGTGATCAAATTAGTTGGATAGTCCATGAAATTCACAAACATTCTACTTGACTAACTGTTTTAAAACAAAGTGTCAATTATGCAAATCAAAGGGTTTTTTTCCAAGCCAAAGATAAAATACAACTACAAAATATATTAAAATCACATGTTCTACAATTTAAAGATTGTTACAAAAATTACCCAAAAACACATCAAGGATTTGTTACATACATATAATTTACAATGTTTTTTTTTTTTTGTGTGTGTGTGTGTGTTTTTAATAGAATGGCTTTTGATGAAAAACAATTGATATTTTTAAATAAATATATATAAATTTGCGCATAAATAGTACAATTTAGTTATCCCATTAGTTTCCATCTGAAATTTTAAAACAAACAACTTATTATAAACCAAAGTCAAGATGAATAAAAACAGTTATTATTCTGATCCTGGTGCCACCTCTGGATTAAAAGGAAGGAAACTACCTATAGCTTAAACTATTGCACAGAATTATGGCTATGCATTTCACTAATGGGGTGTAAGGAGGGGCAAGGAAATACATTAGTCTCACCTTTGACCGAGCCTCTTGTATTCTGGAAACTCCAGTTCTTAACTTTCTCCTCTTCTTCATGCGGTGATAAGGATCAGCAATGGAGCGCAGAGAAGGAGGGACTGAGGTGACAAGAGATGGTAAGTCAATAAGGAAACCAATGAAGGCCACGTGTGTAGTTTAAAGTTACAGTAATAATGTACAAGGGAAGGTAAAATAAAAAGGCACAAAGAGGTGAATTGACTACCAATAAACAAACAATGCTAATAAATCAGATCCTAGCAACGTAGTCCCACATAAAAAGAACGTGGATAAAGGAACTGTGCAGGAATACACCACCACCTTTAGACAGGCTTAAATACGCACAATGACTTATTCACAGTGACAATGACACAGAGGACACCTACAGGCACATGGATATATAACACACAAAGTAAAAAAGGTGATGCCCCCAAGTAAAGTTACGCAGTGGTATACATACCAGGACCTAAACACAGTTAACAATAACAGACGTGGCAATAAGGGCAACAATGGAAGAGATAAATAGTAGGATGGAAGGAGCAAGAAAGACACTTTTCACATTAAAGAGATAAGACCCACAACATACTCAGGTAGTCAGGAACATTTTTGAGGTGAGGTTTGACAACGGCAGGGTGCAGAGGCTTATCATGACGCAAGAGGTTGAAATCACGAGGGTTGTCTTCAAAATATGTCTGCAGATAGGAACATGGTTCAAAATGTAAGATAAAAAACATAAAATATGTATTTATTTATTTTTTAATCCACTCTACAATACAGACACACACACACACAAAATATACTTTTTCACTACGGGAGATCTTGTTTAGAATTCAGTTACACAGTACAACTCTGTGGAACATTTTAGATGTGTAAAATCGTTACTCTTCAGCTTCCTGAGGGTGATTAAAGTAATAAAGGAATATAGGAAAACTAATCCTATAATTCAGAGAAACATATGCTTCCACAACTTCAACAATTTCAATGGCAGCATGTTAGCTTTTGAAGCCTACCAATTTACAGCTGTGCTGTTCTAATTAAATTTCACATTAACAGCACGCACATGGTGGCAAGCTGAATGTCACTGTAATGAGCCATCTATTGCATGAAAGGCATATCCGCGCTCTTTACAGATAGTATATGTATAGTGTGACTGCCTATAGATAGAGATGTAGGGATCTGCTATTTTCCTATATCGGCACTCAGCATTTTTCTTGTTTTAGTTACTATATTTGGAATAACTGACAGTATAATTTGTGGAAGGAATCCTTATCTAGGTTGCACGGCACTTTGATCTCCTGGAAGAACTGTCACTTTAGCGGAGATCACTATAGAAGGCAAAGCACTTTAATTCGTTTTGATGAGAATGTCATAGCAACTTTTAAAATTATTTAGCTGGGGTGAGTAGAGAGTCACACCTGGTGATGCACCATGGATGCTCCAGATTTACAGTGGTGAGCAACATTTACGCCTTGGCAAGTAGTGCAATCTATAATAAGCCCTGTGGGGTGTGTGTGTGGGGGGGGGACGACAGTAGAGAGCAATGTCAAGCTAACATCACAGGAGTGGATGCACGGGGCAAGCGGCATGCAGCTGAGCAGAGGTTCATCAGCTAAGCCAACGTCTAGAAAAGTAACAGAAAAAGCATGCTGGGATGTACAGCTATATAGAGACTACACTACATAATGTGGGGGCATTATATTAGAAAGAGAGGCTAACAGTGTTTGCCAACCTTGAGTTTTTCAGAGTTAAGAAGTTCTTCCTTTATCTCTTTCAAGCGTGCCTCCTTTATTGCTTGTTTGGTGACAGATCTCATGGCATCCTGTGTATATATAAATGTGAAAGTTTAGTGAACACAAAATTCAGAAGCTTCACAGACACTGTCAGGACTTTAATTATTACAATTACAGCACTATTACATTAAAGCATGTCTGTATCAAACAATTTACCTTCTGGGCACTACACCACTGTATGGCAATGAAGTTGTAATGGTGCTTGGAGTTCCCTGGGTTCATCTTACTTTCCAGTGCTAACCTGTTTTTGAAATAGTTCCCCAAATTCACCATTCTGCCTCTTCTCTGGTGCTCAAGGTAATGCAGAAACATTTTGCGAACATTCTTAGCCTATCACAGTCTGCCCACTAAGAGTACAGCTTACAAAATACATGTATGTTTAATTGCAATGGGTGAACAGTGACAGACTGAGAACATCAGCTGAATGCCTCCACATTAGCACCAAGCACCAGAGGAGAAGCAGCATTACAGGAGGCTGGGGACGCTAGGGACTCCAGACACGATATTCACTTAACTGAGATGAAGTGGTTATTGTGCCAAATGTGATCCTTTAATATCCAGCACTCACCCGACAGCGGTACCGAAATCCTTCCACCTCCTCCATGCGGAATCGATAGGGCTTTAGAGCGCACTGCTCAGGACCATCTGCAACGGAAAGAGGTAAAAGGCAAAAGTATACATTTAGGTTTTTTTTGTATTAAAACATACATAGCTATACATTTTTCTTCCCCCTAGACATATATAGTTAGGTCTGTAAATATTTGGACACTGACAAAGTTTTCTGAATTTTGGCTCTGCACACCACCACCACAATGGATTTGAAATGAAAAAACAGATGCAAATAAAATGCAGACCGTCAGCTTTAATTCAAGGGGTTGAACAAAAATATCAAAGGTTCAAGAAAAGCAACCAATTTCATACACAGTCCCCTTATTTCAGGGGCTCAAATTGGACAAATGAACACAATCAGAAATAAAATGTACATTTTTAATACTTTGTCAAGAATCCTTTGCAGGCAATGACTGCTTGAAGTATGGAATGCATGGACGTCACCAAACGCAGAGTTTCCTTCTTGTAATTCTTTACCCTGCCTTTACTGCAGTTATCTTAAGTTGTTTGTTTGCGTGTCTTTCTGCCTTAAGTTTTGTCTTGAGTAAGTGAAATGCTTGGTTGATCGGGTTGAGATCAGGTGGTTGACTAGGCCATTGCAGAATACTCTACTTAAAGGACCACTATGGTGCCAGGAAAACAAACTTGTTGTCCTGGCACTATAGGGGCATTAGGTCCCCCCCACCCTCAGGGCCCCCCTCCCGCTGGGCTGTAGAGGTTAAAACCCCTTCAGCGCCGGGCTCCCTCCACCCCCTGCTGACGTCAGATCCATGAGCATTGAAATCGCCCATAGGAAAGCATTACTTAATGCTTTCCTATGGACGTCCGGCGTCTTCTCACTGATTTTCACAGTGAGAAGCGTAGAAGACAGCCACTAGAGGCTGGATTAACCCTCAGTGAAACCTAGTAGTTTCTCTGAAACTATGTTTTCAACTGCAGGGTTAAACCTAGAGGGAACTTCATTGAGCTGAAGTGATTTGGGTGCCTATAGTGGTCCTTTAAACTCCTGGGTTGCTTTCGTAGCGTTGGGTCATTATCCATCTGTAAAGTCAAGATTCATCTAATCAGCTCTCTGAATTTGGTTAAATCTGAGCAGACAATATATCCCTAAACACTTCAAAATTAATCTGGCTGCTTCTATCTTCTGTCACATCATCAATCAAGACTAGTGACCCAGTGCCATTGGAAGCCATGCATGCCCAAGACATCCCACTGCCTCCACCGTGTTTTACAGCAGACCATGAGCTGTTTCAAGCCTTCTCCATAGTTTTGTCTTATCTTCTGGTACACGTTGGATTTAGTTTCATCTGTCCAAAGAATGATGTTCCAGAACTGGGCTGGCTTTTTTTAAGATTTTTTTTTTTTTTTTGCAAAGTCTAATCTGTCCTTTCTATTCTTGAGGCTTATGAATGGTTTGCACAATGTGGTGAACCCTCTATGTTTGCGCTCGTGAAGATGGTAGACTTGGATAATGATATGCCTACCTACTGGAGGGTGTTGCATGAAATACAAGACGCAAGCTATGCCACGATGGCGTAAGCAAGCCCAATGGAAACAAAGAAAGACATAGGCATGGCATAGACATAAGCACATTTTTGTGTAGGTATAGGTACTCAAGATCGTGAATTTGTCTAAAGCTTAAACAAGAAATAGATAAACAGTTGACAGATTTTCCTTAGACACAATATGGTTCTTTGGAGGTGAACCAAATTTAACAAAGTAAAATAACTAATATTAGCATGTGTGACGGTAGTCACAGTCACTGGGTACCCAGATTCCTTTTGTGTTTTGGTCATTATTGGTGCAGGACATGTTGAATGTATTGCTTGTCCGCGCCTCTCCCCTCCCCCCCCTTTTTTCTTGTCCTATTGTTTCCAGAGCAGAGCGTTGTCCCAGGGACACTGCCAGACCAGCTTGAACTAGCTGCCCTGTCCCTCCTCAATCTCCCATCAGGCCTTGCTATTGTCTGACCTGCCCATCCTTGTATATAGTGCGCTTATCAACCTATTGTATGTAAATGAGGTTGTTGGGGGCTTAATAGATATGTGTTATGTCTATTAAAGTTAGTTGTTGCCCACGAACCATGGTGACCAAGAGGTCCTGTAGCAGAACCAAAGCAGTGTGCACAGTATGCAAAACTCAGGTCAAGTAGGACACAGGTTACAGTTCAAGTTGAATGTTACCCTTCCCTTAACTTTTTTTTTTCTTCCTGTACCCGGTTGTAGGCTTACCAACTTAGAGAGTACAGGTGACCAATATTCCATGCCGAAGATGTTTCTAACAAGCTGTCACACAGGCAACAATATAACCTGAAGCTGAAGTGAAGCAAAAGTCAGCACTGTATTAATATACGTGTTATAGTGTACGTGTTATAATGTATGAAGAGTGTTGCAACCGGTAATGCTGTACTTGGTCAATGTGCTGCTGCGTCAGCAAATGTATTATACACTGGAGTACTACCCAAAACCAATAAAAAAGATATATGAGAAAAAAAAAAGTTTGTTGTTTTAACCTTCACCAAGTGTTGTCTGGTGTTTTGTCCAGGGTGGAAAAGGCCCTCAGTGATCCCAGTCAAGCCTCGGTGACTGGGTCTGACGTGCTCCATGGTCCCTGATAGCTACGAGGAAGCAGACTTGGCCGAGGTACTCTGTCAGAGTACTGGAACTCAGTCACAGCATGTATAGATGAAGCACAATTAACCAGGCATATAATGGTCAGATGGGGAAATTATTGGCATCTGCTTTTGAAGGAGTCCCATTATGTGAGCAGTAAAACAGTCCCAGGTGGCAAGCCATCATTCAGCCTATCCCAGATAATGGGAAATGGGAGTCCTGCATGCGGAGGATTTTATGAGCCGCGATTCCCTGATGTCAATGAGTGGCATCCCTCCAGACCTCAGCCCAGTAATAGGAGGTGCATGCGATTGGGGTCTGCAAGTCCCCGAAAGTCTTTGCCTTCCCTATCCTCCTTCCGAGGTTGAGGCAATGTGACTGCTTGGCGTGCCTCCAAAGAGGCCCAGAAACGGTCAAAGATTTTATCCAACAGCAAGATGTTCTGTTTCGCGTTGCTGAGAGTGGAAACACTGCTGAAGAAGCTGAGCCGCCATCTTGTGTATTTAAGCTGTAACTTGACAGGTATTACAGCATATATCCACGTTGCTACAAAGCCAGTGGGGACCAGAATAACCCCCCAACGGTCCAAAGGGGGGGGGGGGGAGCGGGACTGTAAGGTAAAACTAGGACTATGCAGCGTCAAACTTAGTGGCTGCCTCACCCGTGCGGCAATTTTGCTAGGCCCCCCTGAAAACCTCCGTCAAATGCACTTTGCATAGTCAGGCAAAAAAAATAAAAAATAAAAAAAATAAATAAAAATCGGAAGCAACCCGACCGGCTCCTGGAACAGGTAAGTCATAAGTAGTATCAATATAACTGGATAGAAGTCTATTACAGTGCTGTTGATAAGAAACAGGTTCAGAGCTCGCACGGTGCACATCCATCCGCCATTGAGCTCAAGCCCCGCCCTCTGGAGAGTGTCCTTTGATTGGCTGTATTGGGTTTTTCTTCACCATGGAAAGGATCCTACAATTCTCCACCATTGTTTATCTCAGAATGTATCAGACTGTTGATTTAGTGTTCCTGCTATCTCGGATGGATTATTTTTTGCAGTCGCTTTCTCTTGCATTGAGAACCCCTTTGGCTGCATGTTGTTTGTTCACAGCAACAGCTTCTAAATGCCACACCTGGAATCAACTCCATTCTTTACGAAGAAATAAAGGAATAGCCCACACCTGTCCATGAAACAGCTTTTGAGTCAATTGTCCAATTACGTTTTGTCCATTTTATTAGTAGCTGTAATTTGTAAACCCATCCTCCAAATTGGATGCGAATACCCCCAAATTATAGCCGAGTTACTGCACTTTAAAGACCATATACATTATTTAACTGTAACTTTAACTTATTTTGGTAAACAGCCGAAATAAAACTTTCGTCAGTATCCAAACATTTTAGGACCTAACTGTAGAGACACAAACACTGTGCCTTCCAAGAGCATATACCAAACGTTATGTCTGTGCGTCTCTTGACACACATACTTAAAGGACCACTCTAGGCACCCAGACCACTTCAGCTTAATGAAGTGGTCTGGGTGCCAGGTCCAGCTAGGGTTAACCCATTTTTTCATAATTATAGCAGTTTCAGAGAAACTGCTATAATTATGAATGGGTTAAGCCTTCCCCTCCTTCTAGTGGCTGTCTCATTGACAGTTACTAGAGGCGCTTGCGTGTTTCACTGCACACAGTGAGAGCCGCAAGCGTCATAGGAAAGCATTGTAAATGCTTTCCTATGAGACCGGGCTGAATGCGCGCAAGCAGCTCTTGCCGCGCTGGGCGCATTCAGCCGGCAGGTGAGGCGGAAGGAGGAGGAGCGCTCTCCGCCCAGCGCTGGAAAAAGGTAAGTTTTTACCCCTTTCCCCCTTCCAGAGCCGGGCGGGAGGGGGTCCCTGAGGGTGGGGGCACCCTCAGGGCACTATAGTGCCAGGAAAACGAGTATGTTTTCCTGGCACTATAGTGGTCCTTTAATCTCTGAGAGACACATCCAGTCTCAACCAATGAGGAAAAAGGAACTGAGGAATTCTGGAAAGTTTAAAGAACTATTGGTAGCCCACAAACAATTGTTTGAGGAAAAACGGTCCAATTCAAGCACAAATATACCAAATATTAATACACCTAATAAAGACTGAAATAAGTGTGCGTGCACTACCTGACACCTGTGTGACTCAGCATGCTCTGTTAAGCACACAGGCAAGTCACTGGCTGTCAGACAGTGTGCACAAACACTGCAGGTAGAAGACACAATGTGTGCCATCATAACATGGCCACCGCCATCCCTTCAACCAACCAGTAAGATTGCCCTGTCTCACAAAAAGCTAAGTAATGACATCACCAACCCGCAGGACATATAAAGAATACAACGGTCGATGCAAGGGAGCATCCCACCGAAGTTGGACAGACATGGCAGAGAAAAAATAGTTAGTACACAGGGAGGAAAGTATTCTGCACAAACAACCATAAAAATAAATAAAAAACAAACAGTTTGGTTCAAAACACAAAGTATCACTTTGGTCCAGAGTGAATTTGTTAGACAGCTGTCCTTTAATATAGACACCAAACATTTTATATAAAACAGCAATCACAAATCACACTCACCCCCTCCCAGTGCCTCCTCAATCTCTCCCAAAATAGGTAGCTCTGTGTGTGCCACAAATGTAAGAGCAACCCCGGGGTTATTAGCTCGGGCTGTCCTGGAACAAAGATAAGATGGTGTTAAGGAAACAAGAGGGTGGAAAAAAAAGGAGTTCTATGAGGGATGGGAAGAATTGCAAGGTGATGTATGGGAACATGACCAATTTGTGGGGGGGAGGGGGGGAATGTGTGTAGACTAGGATACAGGGCTAGATCAGAGAAAGCTGAAAATGGGAGAAAAGACTGATTGAGAGGGTAACGTACATAGGAGACAGTTCTGATTTAGAGGTAGAAAGGTAAATAGGAGGAAAATTACTAATTTGGCTGTTGATGTAGAAAAAAGAATGAGGGAGATCAGGAGGCTAATACAGAAAATAGAATGTGTATAGATACACATACCTTCCTGCGCGGTGGATATAGGAATCAACAGACTGAGGGAAGTCAAAGTTTAATACTGTAGACACATTTTGAAAATCAATACCACGAGACACTCCATATTCACTACTTTGCACTCTGAAAATGAGAGGGTTAAAGACAATGGTGAGAGCTTCCAATCACAAACCTAATGGAGGGCAGCTGCATGAACAGGAAGAACAGCACTACAATGACACAGTCAATATAGAGATAACAGAGCTATATGGCAAGACAGAGGTTTATAGGGTCAATACAGGTCTAGAACAGTGAGCTGCAGCATATATAGGTTTGACCCATGTTTTAAGCCAATGCAAGAATAATAAATAAGTTTAATAACAATGCTACTGTAGGAATAACATGTAATATATTGTGTAAGGTAGAATAAAGCGCTCACTTTTCTGATTTGCCTCTTTTCTTCTTCTTCTTTGCTTCCTTGTTTTCTTGCTCAGTAGGAAGTGATAACGAGTGTTCATCTGTTGCAACAATGTAATCATACAAGCCTTGATTGAACTGTCCAATAATGTGACACCTACGAGAGCAAAAAAACCAAAACAAGATATCACTATACAGATGAATATAGCTCTTGAAGTCACTAACAGGTATTGAAACATTCACAGCATGAAAGAATAAAAACCCAGCAATTATAAAATCGCTGGCCATCTGCTTACTTGGCTTTTAATTTAAGAGACTCTTCTAACCATTTAATCTCATTAGATTGGTTATAGTGCCCGAGTCCTCTGGCACTGTACCTCCATACACTGTTAAAGAAATGCTCCACTGTCCAAACACAAAACAAATCTAAAATCACGGTTTAGTAGCTATATCCAAAGTGAAAACTTGCATACATTTATTTTTTCTCTTTGGGCGTATATCTAAATACAGCTTGCAAAACCTGCAAATATCTGGACTGAAGCATTTCTTCCACAGCCAAAACTTTCTGTAGCTGTTCAATAACAGACTTCCCAATGCAGCTCAATGAGAGATCTTTGCCAGGAAGGTTCTCTGGGCAATTTCAGCCTCTTGAGTTTAGTTCCACTGAGCTAAGCCACCAGTAAATAGGAGGACTGGTTGTCTGATCGACAGGAGTGGGGGGAAGATGAAACAAGATTAATTTAGAAAAGTGTGAATTTCTATCTGCACTCTTTACACTTAAGGCATTTCAGCAAACTAAAGGGTCTGAATTGTCCCATTAAATGACTTTGGGTGCCTCTTACCGTGACAGTACTGGGAGTTCAGAGTTCAGTACACAAGCTGGGATGCTGAACTGTTCCAGGAAGAGCTTGAGTCTATAACTCCTGTCCACATCATTTACAAAAATAATAGTTTTCCCACGAACAAGTGAGAGTTTAAGCAATGTGTAGAGCAGCAAGAACTTGTCCTCTTCCTCACACTGGATTTGATATTGTGTGAGCTGAGCAGAGTCAGGTAACTGAGATTCCTCAAGCTTAAGTATCACCTGGAGAGATGGAAGATAGAATTCAGATGCAGAATATACAGTATAACGATGGAAACTAGTACATTTAAAAACAGGCAATGAAAATATACACTAAACATAACCACACAATCAAATGAAGGGAGCAATTAGCAAGAAGACCAAGGGAAACTGGATTCAGTCTCAACTTTGCAATGAGGGATCTCATTGCAGACTATTGCCTAGTCCAGTTGTGCAAAAGGATACAAGAAAAAAAACCAAAGAACTGGGGGCGGAGCCGAATACCTGAGCTGACACCATTTCCCTGAGCTCCCAATGCCAGATATTACATCTAACTAAATAGACTATCCCAGAGTACAATCCACTGGAAAAAACGATTGCCCTCTTATCCTGGTGTCATATGCTGCAAACCGGTGCCCTTCTTGTTCCTGCGGACAGGCAGGAAAGTGCCTGTCTGCAGGTAGGTCTGGGCCCTACCTCAATCACCAACGAAGGCCGCGCTCCCATACCTGGCATTCCCAAAGGACGCCCAAAATACCTCCTGGACAACTAACAGGGACCCCGGCATATTGCTGACCGTATGAGTTAGCAAGTGCATACAAACAGGGACTCCCAGAATATTGGCATCATGCTACAACATCCGACCGCCTGCAAAATGGTGGCATGGTCAGAGCAAGACACCAGTTCCACCCCCTCTGAGAAGGCCATGGGAGAGACTTTGGACCTTTGAGCACCTAATACATCCATTACAGTGTCTATAGCTCAAGATGCCTTGGTGCCAGCCACCAAACTGGACATTATGAATCTCTTATTGGAACTAAAGCAGAGGTCTGCAGCCAATATGGAGCTGATGAAAACAGAGATCCAGGTGGTTACTGCCAGAGTGCAGGCCTCAAAGAAGATATTCTGGATGTACAGCAAGAAAAAGGCCTTAAAACAAGACTTCCTCCAATTCCAATCTTCCCACTCTGACCTACTAGCAAGATTCGACCTGGGTAAGGGCAGAACCTAGCTCACCAATATAACACTCAGAGGCGTACCGGACGCAATCAGTCCCGACGAATTACCCCACTACCTCAGGAGGCTTGTACCAGTGTTGTTGCCACACACTCGGCAAATAAATTGGTTCTTGGTGGCTTCTTTGGCATTAATAAGCCCAGACAAGCACCTAAATCAGCATCATGTGATGTGATCATTAGATGTCAATCCCTGACAGATAAAAGGCAGATTCTAGCTGCGGTGAAATACAATTCATCACAATTCCTTTTGTTTCAAGATTTAACACTGAGTACCCTACAGTGGAGAAACATCACTGGGACGGGTGACGCGCCGGCTCCAAGAAGTGGGGGTAGATTACAGATGGACACTACCAAGTGCCTTAACAGGCACCCGCCAACTGAAGTTGACTCTATCCTACAAGCCCGGGGCTCCCAGAGAGACCCGATCCTCCAGAGAACCCAACAACCAGGCATAATATAAGTGCACCTGTAAATATATCCCCGCATACTGGGTTCACTACCTGTGCCACCGCTGAACCCCTTATTCAAATACTTTAGCGCCACACTTACTTCCCAGTATCGCAGCTCCATAAGATTTTAGCCAACCTGAGACACTGTCACAGTTATTGCACTTTACACCTAGAGTCTATTTAGTACTAGAGGGGAAGGGACGAGCAGAACCCCAGGAGACTATCATCCTTATTCAGCCGAATACTGCTCCCAGTACCTAAGTCACGTAATGCGGGGGGCTCCCTTATTGTACTCTCAAAACGCACCATTCTCAATCCCTTCCTCATCAGTCCTTTTTCTTATATGCCATTTACTCCTGTTATACAATATATATATATAAATGAGGTTATTAATATTACCAAGTCTTTACCTGTACCATACCTGGATTGTAATACCATAATATGTTATCATTGTCTATCTTACTTCAATAAAAAGTGAATTAAAAAAAAAAAAATTATATATATTAAAAAAAAAAATTTATATATATATATATATATATATATATATATATATATATATATATATATATATATATATATATATATATATATATATATATATATATATATATATATCTCAACAAGCACCATGTCTAAAGGAACCCTCCATTGAAAGAAAATGTATTTAACTTTTTATTAAATATACTGAAAAATAATACATAAAACTTAGCTTCTAGTATCTGCATCTACGGCAAACTCTCCTCTTTATCTCTGATACATACCTTCTCTATGATTGACAGCCGGGGAGGTGTAACAAGATCCACGTATAAAAAGGTGCCACTTTATATTAAAAACAGCAATTTGGCCAAAAAAAAAAAAAGTGGGGGTGGACGGTGATGTAGAGACATTCTTTACACAGCAAGCATGCTTTCTGTGCTTGGAGTGTTCCCATAACTCGAACTCTTCATCTACATGTAACATTTGTCACAGCAGTATATAGTGACAACATTAACATGACAGCATTAACTAAATAGAAAGCATTGTAATCTATAGACTCTGCTTTGTAGCAGCACTGTCTGTAATTCTACCACATATGCCAAAATGAGACTAACCGGATTATGTAGAACAAGTTCTTTCAGAGCCTTGACGTCCTCGTTGAATGTAGCAGACATAAGAAAAGACTGGAAAATTTTGGGGAGCTGGCTGAAATGACAAGTGATGTGGTCAGGACTGTAGTAAATTGCATCAGATATCCCCCAAGAATATATAGATCCTATACCATACTCACTTGCAATCACTACATATTATTTTCTATCAAAGACCAAAAATTTTTTCACATTCCAAGCATACAAAAACAAAGATTGCCTCTAGTTCTATATGCCTGCTAGGCATGTGGCTTGTCAACAATAACCTGCCATGATCACCACCTATATACAGTGTCTTAATGTAAATGATACTTGCATTGTAATGGAATCTGATGTTTTCTATGTAGATGTACATTACATATTTTTAATAATTTATGAGCTGAAGCCACAGGTTAGAGCTTAAAACAAATAAAATATTAAAGGGACATTATAGTTACCAGAACCACTACATCTTATTGTAATGGTCCTGGTGTCTATAGCATGTCCTTGCAGGCTTACATTGCTGCCTAGAAACAACTTTAGGGGCAGTCATTCAGACAGTCGTCTGAATGCTGTATTATCAATGTTAGTGAAAGGCATAGTACAAGTCATTTCTACAATTGCTTAGAGTCATGTCTACAAATGCTCGCAGTTTAGGGAATAAGATCCATGAACTTGTGGCAATAATGGCAACTGATAGTGTAGATTTAGTCGCTGTTACGGAGACATGGTATAATGAGAAAAATGACTGGGACATAGCAATACCAGGGTACTCTTTATATAGAAAAGACAGGGAAGGCAAGAAAGGGGGAGGGGTGGCTCTGTATGTGAAGGATAGCATAAAATCTAGCCTAATCAAAGTTAGTGAGGCGAACATAGAGTCAGTTTGGGTTACGTTAGAATTTGGTAATCACACAGTACCTCGTGTAGGTGTGATTTATAGGCCCCCAGGACAAATTGAAGAGTTAGATAATCTACTAGTTGAGGAAATAGCTAAAATGACAATGAAGGGGGAAGTTATCATCATGGGTGACTTTAATCTTCCTGATGTAAATTGGAAAACAAAAATAGCTGCTTGTGCCAGGAGCACACATATTCTAAACTCCCTAGTGGGATTGTCTCTAAAACAAGTCATTGAGGTGCCAACTCGTAAAGAGGCCATACTAGATTTAGTATCATATTACTGTAGGTGAAAGTTTAGGATCCAGGGATCATCAGTCAGTATGATTTAATATAAGAACAGTGACTGAGTCACACCACACAAAAAAGTTTTAGACTTTAGAAACAGACTTTTCTAAAATTAGAATATGTGTAGAGGAGTCATTATCAGACTTGAGCAATTTAAATGGAGTCCAAGAGAAGTCCAGGGATTATTTAAAAGTTGCACTACTGAAGGCAACAGAAAATTGCATTAGGCTTGTCAGTAAAACAAAAAAAAATCACGAAACCACTGGGGTACTCCACAGATGTGGCCAAAATAGTTAAAAACAAAAAGTTAGCATTTAGGAATTATAAAAAAACCTAGAGTGAGGAAGACAAAATGATCTATAAGATTAGGCAGAAAGAGGCTAAGCAAGTTATAAGAGCTTCAAAAACACACACAGAAGAGAAAATAGCACAATTAGTAAAAAAAGGGGGACAAAACTTTTTTTCAGATACATAAATGAGAAAAGAAAAGTAAAACAAGGATTAATTAGATTAAAAACAAAAGAAGGAAGGTGGAAGTGAATGTAGAAGAGGATAAAGGTCTAGCTGGCTGCCTCAATTAATATTTTTGTACGGTATTTACAGATGAAAATGAAGGAAAGGGACCTCAGTTAAGAAAAAGGATAAATGAGTCATTTATTACATGTGAGTTTACAGAGGAAGAGGTTCTATTTCAACTGTCAAAAGTAAAGACAAATAAGTCAATGGGACCTGATGGAATACACCCAAAGCTATTAAAAGAGCTTAGTGGTATACTAGCAAAACCATTAACAGATTTATTTAACCAATCATTGTTAACAGGAGTAGTCCCAGAAGATTGGAAGTTAGCGAATGTTGTGCCCATTCACAAGAAAGGTAATAGGGAGTTTGGATTCCAATATTGTTGAATGGGTAAGGCAGTGGCTGAGTGACAGGCAACAGAGGGTTGTAGTTAATTGAATATATTCGAAGCTTGGGCTTGTCACCAGTGAGGTACCTCAGGGATCTGTACTTGGACCCATTCTCTTTAATATTTTTATTAGTGATATTGCAGAAGGTCTTGATGGTAAGGTATGTCTTTTTAAAAAATATATAAAAGGGTGAAAGAGAGCGCACAAAAAAGATATACAATAATACTTATAAGAGAATGGTACAAAGTACCTCTAGATAATAGCTGCTAAACAAAAAAAGAACTTCCCAAATTCAATGAATAAACTGTAAGATATTGTGTTGTCAGCGCTTAGTGAATAATCCCCTTAGATATAAATCAGGGGTAAAGGTCTTAACAAATGTATCTATAATAATTAGAAACAGCAATAGCATATAGTGTTAAGAGTGTCAATATAACTGATAGTAACAATCAGATTGTAACAAAAAAATCTAAATTGTATCTCAGTCCAGTATAAAATATGTAGCAGGGTCCAAAGTGACAGGAGGTTTCCCAAACAACACTGTGGACCTCCTGTCACTTTGGACCCTGCTACATATTTTATACTGGACTGAGATACAATTTAGATTTTTTTTGTTACAATCTGATTGTTACTATCAGTTATATTGACACTCTTAGCACTATATGCTATTGCTGTTTCTAATTATTATAGATACATTTGTTAAGACCTTTACCCCTGATTATATCTAGGGGATTATTCACTAAGCGCTGACAACACAATATCTTACAAGGTATGTCTTTTTGCTGATGATACTAAGATATGTAACAGGGTTGATGTTCCAGGAGGGATAAGCCAAATGGCAAATGATTTCGGTAAACTAGAAAAATGGTCAGAATTGTGGCAACTGACATTTAATGTGGATAAGTGCAAGATAATGCATCTTGGACGTAAAAACCCAAGGGCAGAGTACAGAATATTTGATAGAGTTCTAACCTCAACATATGAGGAAAGGGATTTAGGGGTGATTATTTCTGATGACTTAAAGGTAGGCAGACAATGTAATAGAGCAGCAGGAAATGCTAGCAGAATGCTTGGTTGTATAGGGAGAGGTATTAGCAGTAGAAAGAGGGAAGTGCTCATGCCATTGTACAGAACACTGGTGAGACCTCACTTGGAGTATTGTACACAGTACTGGAGACCGTATCTTCAGAAGGATATTGATACCTTAGAGAGGGTTCAGAGAAGGGCTACTAAACTGGTTCATGGATTGCGGGATAAAACTTACCAGGAAAGGTTAAAGGATCTTAACATGTATAGCTTGGAGGAAAGACGAGACAGGGGGGATATGATAGAAACATTTAAATACATAAAGGGAATCAACACAGTAAAGGAGGAGACTATATTTAAAAGCAGAAAAACTACCACAACAAGAGGAAAGTCTTAAATTAGAGGGACAAAGGTTTAAAAATAATATTAGGAAGTACTGAGAGGGTAGTGGATGCATGGAATAGCCTTCCAGCTGAAGTGGTAGAGGTTAACACAGTAAAGGAGTTTAAGTATGCGTGGGATAGGCATAAGGCTATCCTAGCTATAAGATAAGGCCAGCGACAAATGAAAGTATTTAGAAAATTGGGCAGACTAGATGGGCCAAATGGTTCTTATCTGCCATCACATTCTATGTTTCTAATACATTTAGACGTTTGGATGCAACATCTTGGCTTTGCTGGACATCAACAGCATGCAAACTGTTTTTCCACACCAAGCTGGGGCATCAGAATCTGAGAATTCTCCTATGCATAAAGGCTTCCCTATCACATATTTTGAAGCATTTTTGGGTTAAGATCCCCACTTATGTTAAATACATTTACAATGTATTCATGTTGTAAAAAAGACATAGAACAGGAATTTTAGAGCGGATTACTACATAAAATAATTTGAATAGTCTAGTGCACTGAAATAGAGGTTTTTGAACCTAATTATCTACATACACTACACCTCAACAAGTAGGGTATACATTAGTAGAGACTCTTCCGTAGGGGCAGCACCCCATTTTTTATTTTTTTTTGCAGTGTAATTTAATATAAAAATGGAAACAATTATTTTATTCTGTTAGTTCTTTAACTAAACACACTTTGGACAAGCCAGTAACCAGACATTTTGTCAAGGGTGGGCATTACCTACCATCAAGATTTTCTGGCACTGAAAGAATTAAAGGATTCTTATTATAGATTCAGTAACCCAATACAATTTCACCCCCCACCCACCCCCCTGGACTAAATGGGACCCATTCTATTGCTTCCTGCTGTTGAGATAAGCATGAAGTGGGTTTTTTCTCTTTTTTTATGATGAATTATTGATTTTTTTTTTTTTAATATTTTTACTTATCTAAGATGACAATGTGAATAATGCTTCTAGCCAAGTTTCCTCCCTGCAAGCATCCCTTTATGTCTCATGTTTTTTGCTTGACAAGCACCAATTATATGTCAATATTCTGTTGATGCATTTTCTGTGGTATAAAATGCATATGTATAGCAAATGTTCACTTTTATCACTCAGAATGTTAACTGTTTTTTTTCTACGTCACACCTCAATAATTCTGTTTGGTTTTTTGGGGGTTTTTTTTCTGGCCAACGAGTATCTACATTTCATTCTACAATTTATTTTGTAGAATTTCTACAATTTATCTTGTATAGCTAACTCATGGTGTATACACATAGCTTTGTTTACTTTTTTCACATTAGTTACTTTTTTCACATTGTGTCATCTCCCTGAACACATCCTTTGGTGGGCCTCGGTAGCAAAAATCCTAAACACATCACTGCAAACTCCCCTCTGAACACTTACCATAGCAAGTTCTTCATATCTTCCTCAAACCCAAACGAGAATATAAGGTCAGCTTCATCTATGACCAAGGCTTGGAGTGTATCCCGTACACATAGCGTCTGCTGATTAATATGACACCAAACACGAGAGGGGGTTCCAACCACAATGTCCGGCTTCTCCATCAGGATGGGTCTAATGGATAAAATAGTTTGATGTATTACATGGCAAAAACAGACAACCCTTTCCAAAACTGCATACCATGTATAGAACCCACACTGCATGTCATGTAACTTATTTCTACTTTAAATCACTTTCTCTTTATTATAAAAAAAAAACAAAAAAAAAACACAACTACAAAAATTAAACACTTACTTCTGAGCAGATACGTCCACCCGGCCCGAAATATCTGCAACTCTGATATCACGGGTGCAATATGAGATTAGCTGCCGGATCATTTGCTGAACCTGCTGACCCAACTCCTTTGTAGGAACCAGAATCAAAACCCTGACAGCTTGTTCAGAGATAGACTAAGGAGAAAAAAAAAGGCATTGTATGATCATACAATACAATGTTTCTTGAAAACATGGATGTGAAGAGCAGTACATTATGCACAGTACTCATTTTATCCTTAATCTTGTTAGATTTGTAAATTAACACAAAAAAAAGGAAAAAAAGATAATCGGATATGCAGTGGGACTGTCAAAACAAAAGAAAAAATAAATAAATTCCACCAATACAAAAGGCAAGATGATAAGCGGTGAACACTGAGGATGGCTTAGCCCAATGCTCTTGGCCTATCATTGAAATCCGAGAGTCCTGGCTTTGGATGCCAGCAGTGCCACTGCAGAGACTTATATGTCCCCTTCAATTGTGTATAGATAAAGTTTAACCTTAAATCCACTGAGATACATCTGGAAAAGAGAGGCAATATCATATCTTCAGAGACTATTCACCCCTAACCCAAATTTTACTATGAAACCATTGCACATTAGGGTACATGGTTTTACACTTTTACATTGAAGATGTGTTCATTCCTCATCGTAAACTAGGCATCTTGGATAAAGTAAGAAATGTAGATAATGATGGTCTTGAAATGCTATAGCATAGTGTGACTGGATGTAGAGCTGCAGTAAAACAAATCTAAGAAGTATGTTCTCTATAAAGCTTGAATTAGATTTGGTCTTCAAGAACAGTCTTGACATTTGCTCTTTTATTTTATATAGTATTTGTTTGTGTGTGTAAGAATGTTGTACATTGTTACACATTCTGTATGTGTGTGTGGATTTTTTTCTTTTTTATGGTGAATTGATTTATTTGTATTTATATTTTTACTTATCTTAGATCACAAATGTTAATAATGCTCCTAGCCAAGCTTCCTCCCTGCTACGAGTTGCAGTATCCCTTTATGTCTCATGCTGTTTGCTTGACAAGTACCAATTATGTGTTAATATTCTATTGACACACACACGTGTCTATATATATACACACACACACACACACACACACACACACATACATACACACACGGTTTTATAAATGGCCAATAATGTATCTAGACGATAGTGATACCATTCCATGTTAAAAATAAAAGCTGTATTAAACAAAATCAATATAACTAGCAGATTGCATTAAATGATCTAAAACAAATTAGTTTTAACAACAGTGTGCATCAAATCAGATTGCAGTGTTACAGAAAACTGGTACAAAATATGCATGTTTCTTCCTCAATATATCATCTTCTAAGTTTAACAGTGGTATGTGAAAGCAGAAAGCACCTATATGCACACCAAATCTTCAAATTAGGAATTCCAATTATTTGACTTAATAAATTATGGTATACCACATAGTGATTAATTCTTGCAGCCCTAAAATGTCATAACAGATGGTGTCAGAGAATACTAAAATATATCGTAGACAATATTACCACCTTCCACACACACAACTGCAAGGGACATGCCCATGGCAGAAGAAAGCAAATTAACCAGTGTTCCCTTCATACCAATAAATATTTATTGGCAGTACTGCACACTTACCATTTTCGATTGAAGGAGGTTCTGAATTATGGGTATCAAATAGGCTGCTGTCTTTCCTGAACCTGTCCTTGCCCGGGCAAGAAGGTCCTTCCCGTCTAGGGCCAGAGGAATGGCCTTCTCCTGAATTAGTGTTGGTTTGGCCCATCCTAAGTCTGCTATGGCCTATGGGATAATAGAGAAGTGAAGGTTATTACTATTTTACAACTCAGAATTTGTCTTTCAGAATATTTAAACCTCCACATAACTATTTATACGTGTACATTTGACATTGGTCATCAAATTGTAATATCAATATAATTGTTATAAAAAATTTTCTCTTTAATTTATGGTTTACTGTAGTTTTTGAAGAAGTCACTCTTATAACTTTCCCACTCCCCCTTTCTGACAGCAATCTTTGTGAACCTTCTTTCAGATTGTCCGGTATCTGAACCGATATTCACTACTATGTAATTGTCCTTTGCTTTTCAAAATCTCCTGACAGAAAATGCAGAAATAGCAAATGGTATCATCATATCAAAGGGACACAATAGGCACCCATACCACTTCAACTCATTGAAGTGGTCTGGGTGTAGTGTCCCTATTGCCATTAGTGCTGCAATGTTAAACATTGTAGTATCAAAGAAACTGCAATGTTTACATTGCAGCTCTAAGTCTGCCTTCAGTGGTTGTCTCCCAGACAGCAACAGGAGGTGCTTCCTGCATCCAAACAGACATTTGGTCCAGTATCTGACGCTGGACGTCCTCACGCTCTGCATAAGGACATTCAGCGTCAGCTTTTTCTCCATTGGAAAGCATTGATTCAATGCTTTCCTATGGGTATGTCTATGTCACTGCTTTTGTCATGCATGTGCATTAGCGCTCGATCGTTGTGGGACATAGGGGGCGGCAGAGATGCAACCCAGCTCTGAGGGACATTGGCCCTGTGATAAGGTAGTAAAGGGGTTTTAACCCTTTTTTGCACCTGGTAGGGCGCTATTATGTTTGTATGCTCAGTGGAAATTGCAAGAGGTCTACTTTTTTTATATGACAGAAAATAGTGTCAGGTCATATCATTGGCCACAGAGATGGAAAGTTAGTGTCAGCTAATTGATCACAGCCAATGAGGTATGCAGAGATTAGCAGACCCCGGTAAGAAGTCACACCACTGGACTATTTATAATGAATGGGTGCCAGGGCACTTGTCACCACAACCACCTCCGTGCACAGAAGTGGTTATGGCACTGAAATGTTCCTCTAAAAGGGTAATTGGGGAGATCTATTCTTTAGTCACATGCTGTGATCCAAAAGGGGATAAATTCTGTAAAAGTTGTGCAAAAGACTGCCCAATATAATATATGCCTATATTTTAAGAGACTTTACTACAATTTCAGTAAGTCAACCTAGTATTTCATTTTTCAGTGTGTAATACTATTTAAAGCTGCTGCATACTTCTCATAGATAGATTTTATTATGTGAAAGTGGCAAACATAAACCCATCTTTAACAAAGGTGACCAAAAAACATTGGGAATAAAATCCAAGAAATGGAGACCTTAGGGAAAATGTATTGAGTGGAGTTGTATTACAATAATGAATGCTTTTATAAATAATGAATTGTTAACAAGTATCACAATATAAAGGAAGTGAATCAGTGAAGTGGCTCCTAAAACAAGTGGCATATAATGCTCAGTTTACAATGTAAATGATTTGTCGATGGGAGGTCACAGAAAGAGTTAATGTTGTAACTAGCATTGGTATAACTCATACTGCTCTACCAGACAAACATATATATTGTAACTGGAGCAATACTCGAGTCTATTGTACATACAGCGCTACTGACCGTACATACAGCGCTACTGACCCCCATACAGCGCTACTGACCCCCATACAGCGCTACTGACCCCCATACAGCGCTACTGACCCCCATACAGCGCTACTGACCCCCATACAGCGCTACTGACCCCCATACAACATACACTCATACAGCGCTACTGACCCCCATACAGCGCTACTGACCCCCATACAGCGCTACTGACCCCCATACACTACTGACCCCCATACAGCGCTACTGACCCCCCCATACAGCGCTACTGACCTGTTGACATTATTTTAGTAGCTTTTCCATCTAAAGGTAAAACTAAAAACAGATCCAAGTTATGCCAAGTGCCAGTCTTTACAGAGCCCTGCGTGATGCAGCATGGAGGGCCAGCCATTAAATAATCATTATACAGCAGGATACATCCAGCGGCATGCTTATAGATCAGTTTAACTCCCCCTACAAACCCCTTATTATCCCATTCATTCCCGTCACCCGGTGTGTACTCACTCTCAATAGACGGTCATCCAGCCCCAACTCATGGAACCGCAAGGAAGACATCTCTACACGTGTGTCCCGAGGAGGACCTGAAAAACCATAGAAAGAGGAAGAGGGAGAGAGCGTACCAAGTAACTACCATAAAGCTGGGTGGGACGGGATAGAATGTCGCGAATAGCAAACCATAAAGAGCAGATGTCAGGCTAGAGTGACATGCAATAAGAAACAGAGTCGGCTAGAATGGAGGAGACTATGTCGGGGGCGGGGGGGGGAAGAGTTTTTTAAAATAAAATAAAATTTAATAGGCACTAATCGTTGTATAGCTAGTCTGATGCTCAAATAGCCCATTCAAAGCTTAACTTATCATTGAAATGTTATAATTAAGAGTAGGTAATATTTTATTTTAACGTGTTTTATTTCCAATAAGAGGGAAGAAGATGGTGCACAGTATAAGATATATGCTTGTAGGAGTCCATTTGGTATTTAAAGGAACACTATAGGCACACAGATCACTTCAGCTCAATTTCTCTGTTCAGAGAAAAGGAAGTGTTTACATTGCTGCCTAGGGACACCTCCAGTGGTATTCACTCAGACGGCCACTGGAAGTGCTTCCTGGGTCAGTGCTTCACGCTCTGCATGGAGATGCTGAACTTTCCCCATAGTGATGCATTCATTCAATGCATTTCTATAAGGAGGTGCTGATTGGCCAGGTGGGCATTTGGTTCCACCCTGCCTCCTTGGCTGAGATAATTAGAACTGACAATCTCAGCCAATCCAATGCAATGATCTCAGAAATGGTTGCGGCTCAGGGCTGGAGCCAGCACCAGCAGACCTGTGTGGAGCTGGGGGGGGAAAAAAAGGTGAGTTTTATACCTTTTTAAAGGGACACTATAGTCACCAGAACAACTACAGCTTATTGAATTTGTTCTGGTGAGTAGAAGCATTACTTTTAGGCTTTTTGCTGTAAACACTGTCTTTTCAGAAGAAAATGCAGTGTTTACATTACAGCCTAGTGATAACTTCACTGGCCACTCATTAGATGGCTGTTAGAGATCCTTCCTGGGTCATGGCTGCCTAAAATGCATCCAAACATTCAGTGTCTCCTCCCTCTGCATGCAGACACTGAACTTTCCTCATAGAGATTCATTGTATCAATTCATCTCTATGAGGAGATGCTGATTGGCCAGGGCTGTCTTTGAATCATGCTGGCTCTGCTCCTGATCTGCCTCTTTGTCAGTCTCAGCCAATCCTATGGGGAAGCACTCTGATTGGATCAGGCCACCACTTCTAATGATGTCAGCAGACTGCTTGTTTTTCTGAGTCTAACAGCATGCAGAGGTACAGCTTCAGGCTTGAATACAGTAAGATTTTGCTATATTTATGGAGGCATGAGGGGCCCAGGGGGGTTAGATGGTGGTATTAACACTATATGGTCAGGAATACATGTTTGTGTTTCTGACCCTATAGTGATCCTTTAATGATGGGCAGGGTGCTAACTTCTTTTTTTAATATGATAGGGTCAGGAAAACACATTTATATTCCTGGCCATATAGTGTTTCTTTAATTAGTAGCTGGTGCTTGCTTACAAGTCCCTACATAATACTGCTCCAACCTACCTATCCTCCCTAATACACAAGTACGTCCCATCGAGGCCCCTACGCTCTGCCAAAGACCTACTTATATCCTCTTTCCGTACTCCCACCTCTAACGCTCGCCTCCAAGACTTTTCCAGGGCTACTCCTCTTCTGTAGAACTCCCTTCTCTTCTCTGTAAGAATTTCACCCAGTCTCCACTCATTCAAAAAATCATTGAAAACTCACTTCAAGAAAGCATATCAATTAAACTGTTAGTAGGTTTTCATCCCCCACCCTCCATGACTCCTCTCATGCAACTGTCAAAAATTACCTACTAAACCCTCAGTGAATACTTTTCTAACAACCTACTTCGTACCCCTACTTTCAAACTTTGAGTCATTATACCCCACTCCCTCTAGAATGTAAGCTCATGGAGTAGGGCCCTCCACCCCTCTCTTCCTGTACGTCCAGTTGTCTGGTTACAATTACATGTATGTTAGTCCACCCATTGTACAGCGCTATTGAATCTGATTGCGCTATATAAATAATAATAATGTATTATAATTATAATAATTCGTTTACATTTATGGACTTCTCATTTTCTTTACATTAAAAAAAACATTCATAAATAGAAACTCCATAAAACTTATCTTTATTCCTGCACTGGGACAGACTCTAAACTGTAGCTTTGATCCTCTTTCTGTAAAGTAATCTATCTTGATTATTTTTATCAAAACAGATGCTTCTGTCATGGGAATCGTACCCCAACACGCAGGAAGAGTGGAAAGATGGATTCGAAAGACTTATTGACGAGCCTTAGAGTGGCCGGAGTTAAGGTATTAATATGGTAAAAATAAGGTCAGGACCTAATGTCCTCCCCCCTGGCCCACACCCCTGAGCGGCCGGTGGGGGCCCTAAATTGGAATAAGGGGGGGACCTAATGTCCCCCCCTCTGGCCCCCACCCCTGAGCGGCGGGTGGGGGCCCTAAATACCAATGGGGGGGACCTATTGTCCTTCCCCTGGACCCCACCCTTGAGCAGCGGGTGGGGGCCCTAAAAAATAAAAAGTCCCCCCCAGGTTACTAGGGGTCCCCAAACCCCAAGTCACCCCCTCCCCCCCAAAAAAAATTATCCTCCTACTTACCCCCCCTCACCTTAAAAATAATGAGGCTTTAACTAAGTACCTGTAAAAAAAAATAAAACTTACCATTCGATGTTTTCTTTCTTCTAAAATCTTTTTTCAGCCTCAAAAAAGGCCAAACAAAAAAACATATCTGCTCACTGTTTAATAGACATACCCCTACTCGCGGTATAGCGAGTAGGGGCATAAGTTACTAATACTAAGTAATCTTTACTTAGTATTAGTAAATTTGGCTGAAAGACCAATTTAGGTCTTTCAGCCTTTTAGTAGATAGCTCCCTAATACCGTGGGAATTAGGGAGTTATCTACTTATTCATTCCTGTCATTACATTGACAGGCTAAGTAACTTACATTTTATATGAATGTATGTTACTTGATTGTTGTAAGTGTTGCAAATGCTTACAGCTGAATCCTGGCTATGTTTGAATACTTTTTATTTAAAATTGTATACAAATGTAACCTTCTTCTTTCACTGGGTAAGTATATTACTACTTTAGCAATACTGTGCTTCGGAACTTTGGCATTTTGGAACTTCGGGACCTCTGCAATTCGGACATTCGGAAGTACCCAAATGTCCGAAATGCCCGAAATTCGTCCGAATTCATATTCGGACCTCAACTAATTGCACATGTCTAATTATGATATTTATTTCTAGGTGTCATGCCGCACGGCTGCGTAGAGTGGTAGGACCGTGCGGCAGGAGGAGAGTAAACGCTACAGCTTCATAGAGAAGTATTTAGGACACACATCACATATACAATCACCATGATTCACCTATTCAATGCTGCTTATAGAGAAACATTTGGTGAACGACTTGAGTATGTACACAGTATCAGCATACTCACACTGTATGTAAGCCCCAAGTAGCTGTGTGTCCAACAGCCATTAGAAACATGTTTCATGGTAAGGGGCAGTAACCCAACACACAGAACTTGAACCAACACCTTACCTATAGAGAACAAGTAGGATAGGGAGCTTATTACCAGTACTTAGAGGGACTTAACACACAAAAGGCAAAAAAGTGTAGTTGTGGTAAACCGAGGTCAATACAGGAGATGTACACAATAAAAATAGACAAAACCTGGTCAAAGGGTAACAGAGATCAGGATAGTCAAGACATGGTGGGTCAAAATACCTGAATAAACACCATTAAATTTGTATGATGATTTGCAGAATGCTTGTTTATCTGATTGTGCTGACGGTATGTTGTGAGGATATTTATGGGGTGATAAATAAAAAAAATATATATTTTCTTATACATTTTTAAAATGTAATTTAATAATTCTTATATCAAAAATTGATATCTTGGCACTGTTTCCCTGATTAATTATTTAAAACTGACAATTACCCACTATTTTATTTTAATTCTCTTAGATCCTAGAGTAAAATTCACGAGAAGATTTTTACTTCACACATTAATCACAAATTATAAAAATATAATTTATTGTGATAATAATAATAATATGTAACATGCGTGTCAATCAGTGAATATTTAGGTATAACAAAAGTATACAAGGGGGCGGGGCCTGACCACAGAGCTGAGAGGAAGCTAGCCTCAGCAGCTCCTGCAACAATCAATGAAAAAAGTGGATTTTTTTATAGCCACAACGACGATTAATTGTGCCAAAAACACCACCACTCGTGGGGTAACACCGAGAGAAACAATATAATCTCATCCAAGCAATTCTACAAGCAAAATCCACTCGGAACAGGTCTGAGGCCTACAAGCATGGCGGGCGCGGGAGTCCGCTTTCCTGACGCTGCAACAAGCTGTACCTGCATACTTGGGTCTTCGTTTCCCCCCACCGGACCGGTGAGGGTTATCCCAGTCTACCATCACACACAAAGCACTCACCTCAGAGGCGCTCCAGAGAGGCAAATCAGACCAGGAGTCACAAGGCCAAACCAAGATGGCCGTCACTACTGCAGCCCTCACAGAGCCACAGAGTGCCAGCGACTGGGCAAAAGCTTTTACGGCACGGCTTGACGCCGTCTGCAGGCACTTCTGGAAGCGACTGGAGAATAAGAACCGGCCTCCTGCACTGACACCTGTCAAAATAAAACCTCGGACTCTGGCACCCTCTCACACCCAGCTTGACCACTCTGATGCCCTTTCTCCAATGCAGCAGTGGGAGAAACCAGAGACCATGCAACTGCAAAGCCTTGACTCACCTCCTGGTCCGCCACAACCATATGGGACGCCGCAAGCAGGCAAAGCCAAAGGGAACCCCGACCAGCATGGCAGAGATCATCGCAGCAGCCGACACGCCGGGCCCCTGCAACAACTCTAAGGGTATGCCAGAGCCTACCTCACCGATATGCTGAGACTCTGCGGAGGCCTTCAAGACCGGACCCAGCAAGAAACAAACAATGCATCAAAGGGTCAAAGAGACTCATTACCCTCCGTACGTGTGGGTCCAACTTTGCAGGACCGGAGGAGCAAGGTATGCCACCATATGTTACGCTCCTATACCGCCCCAACCTGCTACACAGGCCCAAGCAAGGGCCATCAGGCCACACTTCGGCAACTGCAACATGAATTCCATGTGCCCCACCAAGGTCACATGCACACGGCATAAGGTCCATACGCACCTCAGCCCATGGGCCACCGAACTGGAGTCGATCCCGCTTGCAGGGCTCAACCCCTCGTCCACCGCAGGCTCTCTCACAGGCCTGGGGCCAGAAGTGTACCATACACAAGCATGGAACTGCTGTATATTGCCCAAGTCTCCCTTGCCGCATGACAGCTTTATACTCCATACAGCATGAACCTGCGAATGGGACATTTAGCCTCTATGAACTATCGGTGTGCACCATTAGCTTGCCAATCAGCAGTGTTAGCTGAGCGTGTATTGTATACTATGTGCTTACATATGCCCTGAGTCCCCTCTGAGCTTAATAACCATTTGCCATACTAAACATGTTTACTTTACGTTCATTATAATATAACGCAGAGGTATAAATGTCTTGCATATATCTCAAATCAAAATAAGTGTTGCTACTTTTTGCCTTTTACTCGTATAGCATAACACATACCTCTTGTCCCGCTAGCGAGACAAGTAGCACGTAAATGCTTTTGCCATAGACATAACTTGATGCCAAATGTTTTTGGTTGTTACTTGTTTATATGTCTTACCATATTCTTATTTTTATTTTATTTTTATTAAATCCAGCACAGCAACACGTAATTTGACATTTATACTAGACATATCTGCATAGCATGACTTACTCAATAATTTTTTTTTAAAAAACGAGTGATACACCAAGGGATCAAAGACGTAACTGGGACAGACATCCCTTTCCAGCCGTTGCCGATGCTACTGAACCACACGAGCATGCCAATTACCGCCTACAAAAGGGGCCTTGTGATACACCTTCTTACGGCAGCAAAATCTCTCATCTCCACGATGTGGAGAAGCCAGGTAGCCCCTTCACTTCGCCAATGGATAGATAGGGTGGAAATGATTTACAACATGGAATTGATGACTGCGTCTCTGCAGGGACGCTCGGATAAATGTGCGCTAACATGGTTTCCATGGATGGAGTATACGGCCAGGGGGGCTGCGGGGGATGCCCGGACCGGGGATGGTGGTGCTCCCGCACCGGCACAGCTTTCCCCATCCCCAACGGACTGACAGATGCCCGTAGTACCTACCAGCTGGGGGGGGGGGGGGGCACTTCCCTATCCATATGACTCCCCGCTGGGCGGGACGGAGTGGAAGCGACTTCTGGCGGGGAGTAGGCTCACAAGTTCACTTATCCACTAACCTGGCACGCAGTGCATTTGGGGAACGGGGAGGGGATCACAGGGCAAAGAATGGGATTAGGCCACAGGGGCGCAGGGGGATGGGGGGATGGCGGGGCTCTCGAACCTCTTTGGGGTGGGTGGGAGGTGCACATGCCGGAGGGGATTCGGCCAGAGGGCGGGAGGCTAACAACGCTTCCCGGTGGACGGGGAGGAGACCCTCTGACGCTTTCAGTCCCACGCTCTTGGTTTGCTCTGGGCCTCAGATTCAATAGGTACAATGGCGCCCGATTTGATCCCTAGAAGGCTCCAGCCTATCACGTTAGGGGATGAGGGAAGGTACAGAGGCGTCAGAGGGCACCCTACAGCTCATAGACATCTCACACGATCCACTACACCAGTCTGGAGGGTCGGTGGATACCACTATGACTTCGGGCCATGGGCTAGCCCACTAGGTGGCCGCCAAGAGCATGGCAGTAGACGCTAAATGTAGATTAGAACCCCCGTTTCACGATGTAGCAGGGAAAGCCGCGCCTCCCACGCCCCGCTTTTCGCATCTATCCCATGTGTCCCCTGGTTGTCTTGGGATTGCGGCCCTGGTTGTCGCCAAGCTGTATCTTTGCTGTCTTAGTTCTGGTTCTATTCATTTGAAAAGATACTATCATATGTCCGGCTGTATTATCGGCCTACGTGGAATATTGTGTCCTTCCTTCCTTGCCTGTGTAAAGGTTGCCAAACATGTTTGAATTTGTTTGTTGTACTAAATGTGCTGTATTAAATAAATGGAAAAATAGGGGGGCGGGGCCGGGCAGCCATGCTTGCAGGCTGCAAGTCACCACGGCTCCTGAGGAATTCAGCTAATTTTGGGCAAATACCCACTTAATTCAGCCTGAAACACACTGGAAACTCGTGGAACAAGAGCTCGGAGTGTCCTGGTGCAGCTAGAGCACCTGAAATCGGGTGACTCTGGGTCCCAGTGAGATGCTCTGGGACTTGGGGACTGAGGCCTACCCGGGGGGGGGGAGTGGAGCGGACGGCCGCTGCCCCACTTTCCACCCCTGACTAAAGAGACCCACAGCGCGGCTAGAGCCCTCCCGGCCCCGTTCACCCCCCCTTTGGACCGGTGGGGGTTATCCCGGTCTCCACCAGGCAAGTAAACACCTTCAAGGCACTCCTGGGCGGCTTGACGACGACAGCCGACAGCCACCATGCGGCCCTAAGAAAATGGCCGAAAGCAATGTAACTACCTTGCGTTGAGGAAGACCTCACACACCACGCAGCCGAATCCATGCACATCCCTCGACAGCAAAGGTGGTAAAGAGGGGAAGACGGCAATCCACAAACCTACCGCCCATTCACGCGACAAGCCCAATATATGCCCCACTTGAAAACGCCTTACCTCAGCCTCCTGCCACCAAATCCGCAGACTCTCACTGGGGAAAGGCCCGGAAAAGCGATCCACTCATGAAAGCACAACAATACCGGTACCCACACCCGGATAATGAGCTCTGCGCAGCTCAACACTCGTACTCACCTCACGACCGGGTAATATGACCACACCGACCCCCAGACACTATGCTCTGTAGCGGGCCGTTGGGACCCAGCGGACCCTGGGCGACCTTCAGGGTATATCCCCATGTGCAAGAAGAGCATGCCCAGCAACAGCATCCACAACACGACCTGTCGGCAGCTCCAACTCCTCACGACGGAATACACGAAGGGCACAAGCCACAGAACTCACCGCAGACACCCCCACCAACAGACACTCTGGCGGCACTCACCGCTACACGGACACCTAAGTCAGTAAGGTCACACTCAAACTGGCAATACATAACGGCCGTCACCACCCTGACTTTTGCAAACGATGACCCAACGTGCCGAAATCTGCCTGGTGGTACTCTACTCTGCTTTACTTTATTTTGATTTAATCTACTTTACTTTATCTTATTTGACAGACCACCCTAGCTAAGCTATTTGTTTTCTAAAAACAGCTGTGCACATGTCTGTTATAAATATAAGCTCACTAACTACACACCCAGCTTCTGACCCTAAGTAACCTCGTAGTAAAGAGCTCCAGACTATGCGGTGGCCCCCCTCATAGGCGTGCGCAGCCAATTGCATTAGGGTGTGCACCCTAAAGCACAAACACACGCCACGCGCGTGTGTGTGTATGTCTCTCTCTATGTCTCTCTCTCTCTCTCTCTATATATATATATATATATATATATATATAAACACACACACACACACACTGCTGTGTGTGCTGTTAGTGTGCTGTGTGCTGTTAGTGTTATGTGTGTGTGAGGGTGCGTGTTTGTGACTGTGCTGTTTGTGTGTGAGGGTGTTTGTGTGTGTATGTTTGTCCTGTGAGGGTGCTGTTTGTGTGAGTGTCGTGTATTTGTGAGGGTGCTGTTTGTGTGTGTGTTTGTGAGGGTTAGTGTGCTGTGTGTGAGGGTGTTGTGTTTTTTTTTTAAAGGTGCTGTGTGTGTTTGTGAGGGTGCGGTTAGTGTACTGTGTGTATGTGAGCTGTATGTGTGTAGGTGCTGTATGTGTGTGTGCTGTATGTTTGGAGGGATTTGGCAGATTAGTAAATCCTTGCTGCCATGTGCCATCCCTGGTGGTCCAGTGGAGAGTGAACTCTAGCCTGTGGGGCTAGAGTTAACTCTCACGAGATCTGAGCGTTGCCGCAGCAACGCTCAGATATCGCGAGAGGAACCTGGCGGAGCTTCTGTCTAGAGCTCCCTGGGTCCTCTCCTGCCTCCCTCCATGCTGCTGTGGGCCGGTGAGGTAGATCTTTGGTCTCCCTGCCGGCCCATGGAGGCTTAGAGCAGAGCCGGCACTCAGATAGCGCCGGCTCTGCGTGTGTGTGTGTGTATATATATATACATGCGTACACACACACACACACTCACAGACACACACACACATACACTCACAGACACACACTCACACAGACACACACACTCACATACATTCATAGACACACACTCACAGACACACACAGACACTCACACACACACAGACACACACACTCACTGACACACACACACACAGACACTCACACACACAGACACACTCACACACAGACACACACTCACTCACTCACTGACACACTCACACAGACACACACACACACAGACACACACACACTCACACACAAGAAAAAATTATTATATTTTCATTTAAAACAATGTCTACCCAGCCTCCTACCTGGAGTGCTGGTGGACTTGTCCCTGGGGTCCAGTGGGGGGCGGGCGCCTCTCTGCAGCTCAGCGCGCGGCGAGGGAGCTCTCTGCTGTCTGCTCCCTCTCGCCGCGCGGGCTGTCTGCTGGAGCTGGGAGCCGGAATATGACGTCATATTCCGGCTCCCGGCATCAGCGCGCGGCGAGAGGGAGCAGACAGCAGAGAGCAGAGAGCTCCCTCGCCGCGGCTGAACTGCGGGGCGGGGGGGGGTTATCCATCACCTCTTGCCCCCCCTCCCCCATGACAGGGGCAAGAGGTGAGACAGGGGGGCGCTGAGTGCCTGCAGGAACAGCGTTCCTGCTCAAAAAAAGTGCAGGAACGCTGTTCCTGCAGGACTCAAGCCATAGGCGTGCGCACGGGGATTAGGGTGTGCCCAGGCACACCCGGCACACCCCGTGCGCACGCCTATGGCCCCCCTTAATACAAGCAAAAGGATTCAACAAGTTTAAAAAGTAGAATGTCTAGAATTTACAAAAGGTTAAACGTTAATGTTAAGCATGGATAGCGAGTATAAGTGCACAATGACTAGTATGTGTTTCCATGTATAATGTCTAGAATGCGCAGGAAGCGTAAATGCACATTGCTTAGTAAGCGCTGGAGGTCACCTTGACAAAGATTAACTTGATGTACTCATGTTTTGTTATTACATACCCTCACTTTAAACACAAAAAGTTCCAGTGACACTGTATACCCCACTGTTACAAATGTTATTGGTGTTATAGGGGAGTGGAATGCCTTTGGGGTACCACAAGCATGTCTGTTAAACCTATATGCAAAAAAAAAAAAAAAAAAAAGCAGAAAGAAACGTAGTTCTTGCACTACTATACCTATCATATATATAGCATGATAAATTAGCATGATTAAATAACAAAAAATGTGCTGTTTAATCGCATGCCATATTGTCTTAATGTCTAAGATGAGCCTGCAGGCGCTGATGTGGCACTGCAAGACTAACTGTTACTTGTTCTTACGTGCACAAAGAAAAATAAAGAATTATAAATAAATGGAAAAATAAAGAATGTTAAAAAATAATAATTTTAAAAATTTGTGCACGCAATATCAATGCCATGCCAATGTCATAACATGTCTGAAAATGCAATGTTTGCTTCGCTGTCGTGGTGAGGCAATCTTTACTCTGTATATTAGAAGTTGTCTGGAGTACCAAAAAACATAATCTGCCCAGATCCTATGTTTTAGGACAGATTATTCCTATTTGGCAAAAAATAAGGAAAAAAATAGGTTTGGTAAATAAGATATTTGGCTTTCAAAATTTAGAAATAATAGAACTAAATGTGGAGAGTATATCCCTAAAATTATGGAAAGAAAAAGGAATAAATACTTTGGAGGATCTATTTGAAGGAAATAAAATTAAATCTTATAAAAAGTTAGTTGAGGAATTTAATTTCCCTGACAAAGATATTTTTACTTATTATAGAGTAAAACATTACTTGGAGAAAGTTGAGGTAGTAAAAGAAGGTAAGATGTATGATATTTTAAAAACAATCTTACATCAGAATAAGACAAAGCAATTGTTTTCCAGATGTGTTAGATTGTTGGATTTAATGGATGATTCTGTTCTGCCCACTGCCATTAAAAAATGGAACACTGAATTAAAAATAAATATTGAATTATTTGAATGGCTATGTATGGCACAAAAAATTAACAAATATGTCCACTCCTTTGTATTGATAGAAACACATTTTAAGTTGGTTAATCAATGGTATATGACGCCAACAAAAATAGCTAAATTTGATGTATCAAGGGATATTAAATGTTGGAAATGTAGGGAGGAAAAGGGAAATTATATCCATATGTGGTGGTCATGTAAACAAGTGATTGTTATATGGCGGTGGGCTCAAATTATCATTCATACATTATGTGATGTTAAAATGCCTTTAAAACCTGAAGTAATGTTATTACATTATAAATGGCCAAAATTGAATAAAATAAATCAATTCTTAATTATTCATTGTTTAATGGCATGTAAAATAATAATAGCAAGAAATTGGAAGGGAGATATCCCCTTTAACATAAAATTAATAACAATTCAGTTGGTTTACCAACTAAAAATGGAGAAAGATCATTGCAAACTTTTGAGGGATGATTTGAGCCTATGGGAAAAATTGGAGAAAAAATTATTACAACTGTAAAAGGAATGTCATTTGAAAAAGTTGGAAAAAGTTTGAAGTCTGTAGAACTCCCGTGGGGTGGTGGAAAGTTTTTTTTGTTTTTTTTTGTTTTTTTTTTGTTTGTTTTTGTTTTTTCTTTTCTTTATCTGTTTTTATGTGGATGAATGTATTTTAATTATTCTTTTGTAAAATGTATTTATGGTGGAAAACCTGCTAATAAAAAAAAAAAAAAAAAAAGAGATTAAAAACTGTATTATGGAGACATGAAGCATGCATGCAGGACATGATGGCCACTCTGAAATTAGCTTCCTACAAATGCAGGGACATCCTGATTATATTTAAAAGGACACTGTAGTCACCAGAACAACTACAGCTTATTGTATTTGTTTTGGTGAGCATAATCATTCCCCTCATTGATTTAATACATCTCTATGAGAAGATGCTGATTGGCCAGGACTGTGTTTGACTTGTGCTGGCTCTGTCCCTGATCTGCCTCATTGAAACTATCAGCCAATCCTAAGGGAAAGCATTGTGATTGGCTCAGAACAACACTTTTTAAAAAAAAAAATTACATTTAATAAAAGTCTTTGCTATGGTGATGTTGAGCTAATTGAGATGTAATAGACATTACTGCAGATCCTGACCTGAACCTATGGTAGAAACTGTGATCTATCTGCTTAGAAAGACTGTTGTTACCCATCATGTTTATCCTCCAGAGATTATAATTCGTATAGCTTCAGGGTAAAATCTCAACCTCATCTCTAATATTTGATAAAACTCTCAGAATTCTGTCTTCCCGTCATCTTTCATTTTTATCTCAGCACATTTCTATAAAGACAAAATGTAGTGCAGGACACAACTGCAATAATATCACTTTTCTAAGTATGGTTCCCGCATTCTGGTGTCTTCGCAGATATAAGTAATTGAAGAAAAATATTTTCTGAGGGTTTACTATAAGAAACAATTTACTAAAGGGGTTTGCAGTATTTGTGCTTGCCATGTATAACTGTGAAATATGGCAGTTTTTTTTTTAGCATTATTACACTAGTAAACAATAAAAACTTTAGTGAGTGCTAACCTCTAAAAACTAGTAAACACATAGTAAAATAAAACAAGAAATATAAATAATGGCAGCTTTAATGTATTCTAAAACAAACAGACAGACAAAAACCACCTCAACAATAAACAGAGTTAATCACAGTTAATGTCTATATGATACATATATTGTGATATTTATATAAATGTATATATAGTATGATGTTTCTTGAGGTAAACAAAAGCAGATATGTATATGAAGGTTATAATTATACTCACATTTTATGGAGCTTTTGATTAAACACTGCTCGAAAACAGAAGTCTTGTGCACAATCTGGGTTGTGTAATGAAAATAACTGAATCGTACAAGCAGCATCCACTTCAACAGGATTTGTATAAAAAAAGTCTTTGCTTCCTTTTATTTGCTTCACACATGTGTAAACATATGCAGAAAGTAGGCAGAGGATGGCAACATAGTGAAGTAGTTACTTAAAAGAGTATTTATTGTACAGGGAAAATAAGCTCATATTTAAAATTTTTTAATAAATAATGTAATGTATGCGGTTTTCAGCATGCAGATGGTTGTAGTATATCAGCTCCGAGCTCCTTTTTCTTTTGTAGGAAAGATAACTTTTAATAAAATATATATTTAATATATTGCAAAAATGATTAAGATTTTAGATTTTTTTCCATTATATTTATAATATGATAATAATTTATTTTACAAAATAAGGTATAACTTTGCAAACGTGGTAAATGCAGAATAATACTCAGAATAAGCCCCTGGCCCAAACTATGGAATGCCCCACAGATATAAGTTCTATGATGGAATGGCTGTAACTCTGACTTGTTACACAAAACTTCTTCTCTTCTGAACAACTTTGTGATACGTAGGGTTTTTGTCATTCCTGACTCCTTAAAACACTTCAGCTTACTTTATGTGTGAAGAGTGTGTTCTTTTTTTATTTTACAAAAATTGTAGATTTCAGTAGAAATTGCTGGATACCAGTGTAAATTAACCTTGTAATACCCCCCTGGCTGTGTGTCCTGTTACTCCTTGGCAGCAAGATGCACTATGGACTATGGACTATGGAAGAAGGCAGGTTGGCAAAGGTAAATTTATGCTCTGGGCAATGTTCTGGTGGGAAACCTTGGGTCCTGGCATTTTTGTGGAAGTTACTCTGACAAGTGCCACGTAGCTACAAAATGCTGTTGACCATATACACCCCTTCAATGGTGTTTCCTGATATCAGTGGCTTCTTTCAGCAGGATAATCCATTCTGCCACACTGCAAAAATGTTCAGGAATGGTTTGAGGAACATGACAAAGAGTCTAAAGTGTTGCATTGTACTCCAAATTCCTCAATCAGATCGAGGGGCTGGAGCAACAAATCCGACACACGGAGGCCCACCTTGTAATTTGCAGGACTTAAAGGATCTGCTGCTAATGTCTTGGTGCCAGATACCACAAGACACATTCAGAGGTCTTGTGGAGTCCATGCCTTGACGCATCAGAGCTGTTTTGGCTGTAGGAGGGGCCTACACGATATTAGGCAGGTGGGTTTAATGTTGTGGCTGTTCAGTATACATTAGTTGTATATATCCTAGTTTTCGGTAGTAATGTATTAATTTTCATTTTAAAGTTTTATTAGAGATATATTGTGATATATTGATTACTTAGACAAGGCTTTTGCCATATGTTTATTGTGAATGTATTATCTCTGGCTTTTGTAGAGTTAATTTATGTGTATGGAAGTTCAGAGTAGGGCTTATCACATAAACAGCGGTTTGTATGACATCTATTAAGTCACTAAAAATCATCTTAGAGAGGGGGGCGTGGCTAGCAGCCGAACCGAATGGCAGCACACTAAGACAGCTCCTGGGCTACACAGAGAAAATCGCCAGCAAAGGAGGCACAATCCATCATGGGGAACCACAAAAAGGCTCAACCTAACACCCAGCTCACCGGGAAAATACCGGCAGATAAAACGGGCAGCGTAACCCGTCTATTTAAAGAATATGCCGACTGCGTGTCGGACTCCGGCGATCCCAATATGGCGCTGACGGCGGCAAATACTGACTCATACCCGCCGAGCCCCACAGCATCAGACACATCTCACACTTCCACAGACATGGATATAAGAGAAATCCTGAGAAGTCTCCCATCAAAAACGGACTTAGCACAAATGCTTAGCAGACTAGAAACAACCTTCCAGCATAAAATGGACGGCCTCAGCTCAGAAATAAAACAGATAGGTGCAGGATCTGGAGGATGAGAGGGGATCCCACCAAACCCAAATGCATACCCTATCAGCCAAAATCCAAGCCCATGAGAGACAGCTTTCCATGTTGCAGCGCTCCCTGGATGATATTGACTACAGGGGCAGAAGAAATAACTTGCGCATAATGGGCTTACCTGAAGCCAAGGGGGAAAACCTCTTCACCTTCGTCCTAGACAGGGTGCACCACTCACTAAAACCCAGACTGGGGACGGGAGAGACACCAAGAGATGTCATATTCCTCACTCATTACTATGCACTCAAAGAAGAGATACTAAGAAAATTGAGAGACACCTCCTCCCCAATGCTTTTTCACAGCCATGAAATACAAATTTATCAGGATCTCTCATGGCACAATCTGCAAGCAAGAAGAGCACTAAAGCCTATAACAGATCAACTCCGCACACGCAACCTGAGATACAGATGGGGCTTTCCATTTGCCCTAATAGTCAGCTCCCGTGGATACACTCACACGATTACAACGCACCAAAGCACCAAAGCACTAAACCTAGCAGAAACGTCTATTATGGACTGGTACACACCGGACCCGGCTCTATCAACCTCGTCAGCACAGCAGAGAGCAAGATGGAGATCCTCAGCAAAGAGGCAAAGAACGAATCCCATAGGAAATCCCCACCATCAGGCAACACCAGGGAGGACTAAAACAGACACTCATGGACATTCCCGGATGTTTCATCATACCCTCTTTTTTCCCTGCGAACTTACTTACCACATAAACTGTTCCAGACAACCTACACAAGAGGGACCTTGTACTAACTTGGACATGTGATGACCACATTGAACCAGTCGGGGCCTAACTCTGACACCCCCTGGTAAGGAAAGCCCAGCAAGACCCATCATCCAAGGTCGTATACAATAATCTGTAATCAGGGCCGCCATCAGAAATTTTGGGGCACCTGACAAAGCACAAGGTCTGGGGCCCCCCTCTGTCTCCCCCAGGCCCGCCCACGCCCTACCTAGTCCGCTGACAATGATGCGGGACTGAATGTGGTGTGTATAGTGGAAGTGAATTAGAATGTGTGTAATGGATGTAGTGTTTGTGTGTATTAGATACTGTTTGTGCAATGAATACAGAGTGTGTGTTTGTGTAGCGGATGCAGTGTGTATAGTGAACGCAGAGTGTTTTTGAGTAGTGGATGTAGTGTGTGTACAGTGATGTAGTGTGTGTTTGTGTAGTGGATGTAGTGTTTGTGTGTACTAGATGCAATGTGTTTAGTGGATGTAGTGTGTGTAGTGGATGTAGGGTGTGTATTAGACACAGCGTCTCTGTATAGGTAATGCAGAGTGTTTCAATGTGTGGTGGATGTAGTGTGTGTACTGTGAATACAGGATGTTTGTGTAGTGGATGCTGTGTGTATAGTTAATGCAGAGTGTGTGTCAGTGTAGTGAATGCAGAGTGTGTGTCAGTATAGTAAATGCAGAGTGTGTGCATAGTGTAGTGAATGCAGAGTGTGTGCATAGTGTAGTGAATGCAGAGTGTTTGTTAGTGTGTAATAAATGCAGTGTGTGCTAGTGTAGTGAATGCAGAGTGTGTCAGTGTAATGAATGTAGTGTGTGTGTTAGTGCAGTGAATGCAGAGTGTGTGTTAATGTTTAGTGAATGCAGAGTGTGTGTGTTAGTGTAGATAATGCAGAGAGTGTGTTAGTGTGTAGTGAATGCAGAGTGTGTGTTGTACTAGTGTATGCAGAGTGTGTGTCAGGGTAGTGTATGCACAGTGTGTCGTATTAGTGGATGCAGTGTGTGTGTTGTGTTAGTGGATGCAGTGTGTGTGTCAGTGGAGTGGATGCAGTGTGTGTGTCAGTGAAGTGGATGCAGTGTGTGTGTTGTGCTAGTGGATGTAGTGTGTGTGTCAGTGGAGTGGATGCAGTGTGTGTATTGTGTTAGTAGATGCAGTGTGTGTGTCAGTGGAGTAGAAGCAGTGTGTGTCAGTGGAGTGGATGCAGTGTGTGTGTTGTGTTAGTGTATTCAGAGTGTGTCTCAGTGTAGTCGATGCAGTGTGTGTGTCAGTGTAGTGGATGCAGTGTGTGTGTTGTGTTAGTGAATGCAGTGTGTGTGTCAGTGGAGTGGATGCAGTGTGTGTATTGTGTTAGTGGATGCAGAGTGTGTGTCAGTGTAGTGAATGCAGTGTGTGTGTCAGTGTAGTGGATGCAGTGTGTGTGTCAGTGGAGTGGATGCAGTGTGTGTGTTGTGTTAGTGAATGCAGTGTGTGTGTCAGTGTAGTGGATGCAGTGTGTGTGTTGTGTTAGTGGATGCAGTGTGTGTCAGTGGAGTGGATGCAGTGTGTGTGTCAGTGGAGTGGATGCAGTGTGTGTGTGTCAGTGTAGTGGATGCAGTGTGTGTGTCAGTGTAGTGGATGCAGTGTGTGTGTTGTGTTAGTGGATGCAGTGTGTGTGTCAGTGTAGTGGATGCAGTGTGTGTGTTGTGTTAGTGTATGCAGTGTGTGTATTGTGCTAGTGTATGCAGTGTGTGTGTCAGTGTAGTGGGTGCAGTGTGTGTTGTGTTAGTGTATGCAGTGTGTATGTCAGTGTAGTGTATGCAGTGTGTGTGTCAGTGGAGTGGATGCAGTGTGTGTGTCAGTGGAGTGGATGCAGTGTGTGTGTCAGTGGAGTGGACACGGTGTCCTATGTTGTGTTGAGTGGATGCAGTGTCTGTGTCAGTTAGCCAGTGGATGGGGTGTGTGTGTGTCGGTGGGTGGATGCAGTGTGTGTGTGTGTTGGTGGATGCAGGTGTGTGTGTCGGTGTGGTGAGATACAGTGTGTGTGTGTCAGTGTGGTGGATGCGGTGTGTGTGTTGTGTTAGTGGTTCACAGTGTGTGTGTCAGTGTGCTGGATGCAGTGTGTGTGTTGTGTTGGTGGATTACGGTGTGTGTGTGTCAGTGTGGTGGATGCGGTGTGTGTGTTGAGTGGATGCGGTGTGTGTCAGTGGAGTGGATGCAGTGTGTGTGTCGGTCTGGAGTGGATGCAGTGTGTGTTGTGTTGGTGGATGCAGTGTGTGTGTCAGTGTGGTGGATGCAGTGTGTGTGTGTGTCAGTGTAGTGGATGCAGTATGTGTGTGTTGTGTTAGTGGATGCAGTGTGTGTGTCAGTGGAGTGAATGCAGTGTGTGTGTTGTGTTAGTGGATGCAGTGTGTGTGTCAGTGTAGTGGATGCAGTGTGTGTGTTGTGTTAGTGGATGCAGTGTGTGTGTCAGTGTAGTGGATGCAGTGTGTGTGTTGTGTTAGTGGATGCAGATGTTTGTGTCAGTGGAGTGGATGCAGTGTATGTATTGTGTTAGTGGATGCAGAGTGTGTGTCAGTGTAGTGAATGCAGTGTGTGTGTCAGTGTAGTGGATGCAGTGTGTGTGTGTTGTGTTAGTGGATGCAGTGTGTGTGTCAATGTACTGGATGCAGTGTGTGTGTTGTGTTAGTGGATGCAGTGTGTGTGTCAGTGTAGTGGATGCAGTGTGTGT